ATGGCAGAGAAAGAGCAGCTCTGCGGGCCCTGGAGTTGCCTGCTCCCAATGGTCAGCACTTCCCAACAGAGGGGGGCAGCAGAGGGCTGATCTGGGACCCCAGGTGCTTGAGGCCCAGTTCCAAGGCCTCAGGGCCCGACCGGTGGGGAGCCTGGCCCAGGCGAGGAGAAGGCTACTTGGCTTGAGCGCTCCGCTCTCCTCAGCGTGCCTATCCGTCTACACAGCCTGCGGCCAGTCACTTCCGGGTGGAACCTCACCGATTTGGGTGGGCAGGTATTCTAAGCAGCTCCGAACGCGAAGGCGACCTCATGGAGGTCACACAGCTAGGGAGCTTGACCCTGTCGTCGCCTCAGGCTCGTGGAGCTTGAGGTGCCGTGCACGGAAGGCTGAGGACGGGGTCGGGCCCCTCTGCTCCCTGCTCCCCTCCGGCTCCGGGGGCTCCCTGCGGCGGGCGGAAAAGTGGAGGTGGCAGGCTCAGTGGGGGCAGGGCGGGGCCTGGGGGAGGTGCGGTAATGAATGTGGACGGGAGGCGGAATGAGCGATCCATCTTTGCATGGGAGGGGAGGGGGCCGCCGGCGATCCCCCCACACACTCACACACTCAATCAGGCGCTGTCAGACCTCGGGCCGCCTGGCATTTTGGTGAAGAATCTCTCAGCTAAAAATTGTTGTCAGTCCCATTTCCTCGTTATCAGTGCAAGGGCTGAGGCAGCGCCCGGGGATTAACAGGAGCGGCGAGCGCCCGCACCGCCATCCGCTGCCGATAACACTGGGCCTCCCACCTCACCGCCCCCATTCATCATCTTTAGCACTGACAGCCCGTCCCAGTCCCTGTCCCCAGCCCCTCATGCTTCCCGCGTCTCCCCACTACGCTGCTCAGCCTGCCTCCTGACCTCCCTATGGAGCCAGGCCTCCTGAAGAGGGACAAGATTCAACCTAGGCCCACAATGACCCACACCCACCTGTGGCAAAGGGCCTGGCCCGCTGGGGGGGGAGGGCAGGGGCAGGAGTGAGGGATGCTCAAGGAGAAGATGCTTTCTGACAGCCTGCCTCTGGAGGGCTCGGTCTGCCTACCTGTGATGCTGGCACATTGGCGTTGCAGAAGGGATTCCAGGGATTCCTACATCAGATGGGCAGCTGAACTAGGGATTTCCAGAGGTCTCTCCAGCCTGAGGACTCTCCGATTCTGGGAACTGTGGAAGAGAAGGGCCAGGATGCCTACTCTCAGGCCTGGGAAGAGTAGGGGGTTGAGGACTTCATTCCCACCCCCGCAAGACCACAGCCCCCTCCTCTTGGCCATCTCCAGCGGTTTTATGGCCCGTTTTATGGCCACTGTAATGGCCCAGGTCAAAAGCTTCAGGGAGCTGTATTCTGGGAATTATGCAAACGAGGAGCAGGCCCAGGGCCAGAGTATGGATTTTGTCATTAAACCTGGGCAGGCCATGTCGTTAGTGCAGTAAAACCCACGTCATGACCACAGGTCTCAATATAAAATTATAGGGAACACAGCGGGGGAGGGGAAGCAGGGGGCCCATGGCCAGGCTGACACCTGCCACTCTAACCCCTGAGAAAATGGGGGTGGGATGGAGGGCATGGGCTTCAGGGTCCCTCTGCTGATCCCTGTCAAGGCTATTCCTAAAGCTGAAGCCAGGAAGAGGGCCCATTGTCCTGATGGGGAAACTGAGGCCAAGCTCCGAAAAGTAGATCTCTGTGGCAGCAAAGCAGATGAACTGAGAACAAGTAAATGGGAATGCTGAGTCCTGGTCCCAGCCTTGGAGGGAAGACTCTGGGCACTAGGAATCCCTAAGAGCCAGAGTTGGTGGCCCAGGCTAAAAGGGGCAGAAACCCTGATTTTTCCCACCTCAGCTCCATGCCCTGGATCCTCTGCTTTGTAAGGTCCCTTCCCTTGCCATTGCCCCCAGTTATGCCCCAGGCCCTGCCTCAATGATCCATTTTAACAGCCTCATCAATTCTCCTTTATTCACCCCTCATGCTTCCATCAGGCACTGCCTCCCCCTGGACCCTACCAACCACCCTCTGGTCCCTCCAGCCTCCACCCTCGAGCGCCCGTTCCCACCTCCCGCAGCCCTGGCCAGGGCAGTACTGACTGGACCCACTGACCCTTCTTTGGCTTTCCTCTTACTTTGTGATCTCCTTCAGGCCAAGAATGTGTTTTATTTATCTCTGAACTCCAGTTTCTCCTAGAATAATGCCTGAAGTAAAATAATTGTTTAATAAATGTTTGCTGAGTGAATAAATAAATGAAGCATTGAGATCATGAGCTGAGTACAGGGATCACTATCCAGTTCAGAGACTCAGTTTCCCCACCTGTAAAACAAAGGTATTGGCCTGCAGAATTTCTAGGGTCTCACTCCACCTCTAAGATTCTTGGGCCGAATGAAGTTCGAGGCAGAGCTGAGACTAGAATCCTCATCTCCCATCTTCCAGACCAGGCCACATCTGCTTCTTTTACTCAGAACTACCTTCCAGCTGTCCTCTGAGCATCTGAGGCATAGTCAGCAAGGCACATGATCAGGAGGGCCCCTTCCCCTGCTCAGAGACCTAACCACACAGACTAGAGCCACACCTACCCTACCCTGGCCCACACCAAGCCTCCACAGTGGACCTCCCAGCTCTGCGAAGATCATCGGGCTTCTAGGATGATCTGCTCTTCTTCCTACAGCCTTTCCCTTCCTCTTTTCCTCTGCTTTGCTTCATTACTGCACATCTAGTCAATGTCAGGTCTGTTTTCAATTGTCTATAAATATCAAGTTGGGTAAGAAATGGTCCCTGCCCACAAGAAAGTCACAACTCATTGTTTTGCTCCCGGTTTTCTGCCTGGAACACTTCTAAGGTACAACTTAAATTTCATTTCTTTGGTTAAGACTTCTCTTTTTTCACTCCTCAAAACACACACCCAGAATGAACTACTCCCTCCTTTGAGCTCTCAGATGACTCAGTCTGGACATCCAGGAGAGCTGTGACCATCCTCAACCTTGTGTCAAAGGGAGGTGGGTTCCTGTGCTCAGCCTGAACTGGGAGCTCCTTCAGGCATGGGGTTGCTAGAGTTAGCAAATAAAAATATATGACCTCCAGGTAAATTTGATTTTTGGAAGAACAATGAGTAACTTTTAGCATAAGTATATGCCATGCAATATTTGAGACATACTTATACTGAAAAGGTATTCATTGTTTACTGAAATTCAAATGTAATTGAGCATCTTATATTTTTTTAAAAGATTTTATGTATTTATCTGACAGAGAGAGACACAGCAAGAGAGGGAACATAAGCAGGGGGAGTAGGAGGGGGAGAAACAGGCTTCTCGCAGAGCAGGGAGCCCGACTCGGGGCTCAATCCCAGGACCCTGGGATCGTGACCTGAGCCAAAGGCAGACACTTAACGACTGAGCCACCCAGGCACCCCTGAGCATCTTATATTTAATCTGGCAACCCAACTCAACCACCATCATTACTGGCATGGCCTTTATCTCTCTGAAAGCTAATTTTGACCCTCTCTGGGCAACAGTGGGAAGAAGAAGCAGGGAGAAAGATCTTGGCTGAAGCTAAAGAAGCCTTTCTACAGTCGACGTTTACATAGATAGGCAAGGATGTTTCTGGATGAATAGGACTCCTCAACCCCATGCCTTAAGCAGAGGGCAGAGGAGCACTGGGTGGCAAGAGTGACAAGGGAGGAGAGAGTTTAGGCTCCCCCAAGAGGCATGCACTAGGCAACCTTCAGCCTCCTTCCTAGAATAGTGTGCTCTGGTCACCTTCAGCAACAGAGACAGTGACAGAGCTGTGGGTGGGGACATGGTGGGGACAGAGTGCAGGCTCCCAGCTGGAGCCCCAAGCCAGCATAAACCAGCACAATACCCACTTGTATTCCCATACAATTTGAAGGGTATTTGGGAGGGGGAAACCCAGAATCTGTTAGGTTCACAAGAGGCCAATGAGGTTATCCATGTGAGAGGTAGTGAGACCCAAACAGGGAGAATATAGATTCCAGGAATATTGAAGAAGCAGAATGGATAGGACGTGGTGGTTAAACGAATGTGGGAGGGACAGTAAGGCAAGGGAAGGGGCCTCAGGGGAGGCGAAGTTTCCCGGCTTGGGTGACTAAGGTGCTGGTGTCATTAACTAAGATGGGCACTGCTGAAGAGGAGCAGTTTTGCAAGGGGTGAAGAAGCTGAAGGGCTTGTTTTTGGATCCGTTGACTTTCAGATTCTTGGGGGACATCCAAGCATCGCTGTCCATTAGGCGCTTGGATACAGAGGCTGAGAGAACCAGGGAGGGATCTGGGGGCAGAGACACAGATTCTGGAATCTACAGGGCACAGATGGGAGTTAGGGCCATAAGAAGAAAGAAGAGCATCCAGCATGCAGAACAGGGAGAGGGGAAGCTATGGGCAGAATCCTGGGAAGGTGAGGAACCCGGAAAGAACACTACCCCAGAAGTCACATGGGTCCTTTCTGGTCATTCCCCCTCGACTGTGAGGGCCTCAAGGGCAGAGACTAGATCTGATTATATTCTGTGGCCCCACCACTCTGCACCAGGGCTGGTTCAGAGTAGACCCCAGACAACGTTTGTTGAATGACTGCAGGAATGAATCCTCTTTCTCCCTCTTTTCTTCCTTCTCCAGACTTGGGGAATATGAAAGCAGGGAGGAAAGGAGAGACAGAAGGGGCACTGGATATTCTGGGTGATGGCCCAAGACCTTCACTAACCTGTATGAAACGAAGTGATTCAGCTTTGATTGCACAGAGCATTGACTGTGTCCCAACAGATTTCCCAGAGGGGCAGCTGGCTAAGGAGGTGCCATTCATGGCCCCGAGCCACAAAGAAGAGTGAATTGTCCTGGTGTCTGAGACCCTTGGGCTCCACCCTCCTCTAGGCCAGGAAGTCCTGGGAGGCAGCAGGCTCGGACTGGAGGATTGGGACACTGGCTTTCCGTCCACAGACTAGCCCAGCTTATCTGTCTGTCTCTTCTTCTTCCCTCCCCAGGTAAGAAAAAGGCAGCAGCTTTGTTTGACAGCCAGGCCCCTATTTGCCCCATCTGCCAGGTCCTGCTAAGGCCCAGTGAGTTGCAGGAGCATATGGAGCAAGAACTTGAACAGCTGGCCCAGCTGCCTGCCAGGTAAGCCACCAATCGGGGGAGCCTGCCTGCCAGACGATTCCACTCAGGGTTCTAGACACCAGGTCCCGGGAACAGCCACCTGGCCCAGTCCCCAACCTCTAGGTAGAAGGCAAGGCCCTCCTGTTACTCTCCTCTACTCTGCCTTCAGTCCTCGGATCCTCCAGCAAAATGGTGATGCCTTTCCCTTCTTGCTGTCTTTTCGGAGATGGGAAGAGCGTGACCCCTCTTCAGTCCTCCGCCTCAAAAGGGCACAAGAGGAGCTGGAAAGGGATGAGCCACGGCCACGGGCCTTGCACTGCCATGCTAAGCCTCCGGGTAGGGTAGCAGAAACAGGGACTGGGCCTGGCAGTCTGCCCAGCTGTGTGGCCTTGTGCCGCTATCCAGGGGAGTAAGCACTGCCTTCTCTATGAATCTCAAGGTCTTGAAAGGTGACAATCAAGAATGGGCTTGGGCGGGTCCCCCCCGTGCTCCACCCTACCTCCCTTCTCCCTGCCTGAAGGACCAGATGGAGCCTCGTTGAGGGCCTAATAGAGGAGCCAGGTTATCAAAGGGACAGAGCAAGGGTGTGACAAATTACCCCAAATCTTCGCAATTTAAAGCAACCATTTCATTGTACTCATGGAATCTGTGGGTTCAGGAATTCAGACAGAGCACAGAGGGGATCACTTGTGTCTGCTCCAGGATGTCTGGGGCCCCAGCTGGGAAGACTCAATGGCTGGGAGCTGGGATCATCTGGAGCCCCCTTCACTCACATGTCTGGTGATTGATTCCGGCTGTCAGCTGGGACCTCAGCTGGGGCTGTGACCAAAGCACCTACACTTGGCTTCCATGTGGCCTGGGCTTGCTCATAGCCTGGCAGCCTCGGGGTAGTTGGATTTTCTATGTGGCAGCTTAGGGTACTCAAGCCAATGTTCCAGCCAACGAGATGGAAGCTGCATCACCTTTTACAACCTAGCCTCGAAAGTCATTTAATGCCACTTCTGCTGTTCTCGATTGGTCGAGGCAGTATCAGCCCAGCCAGATTGAAGGGGAGCAAACATACACCCCACCTTCTGATGGGAGAGTGACACGGTCATATTATAGGAGAGCACGTGGGATAGGAGACATGGTTGGTTGCAGCCTTCTCTGGAAGATACGTCTGCCAGGGAACAGCCTTCCCCACCATTCCCAACCCCACCCCACCCCTTGTTCAGTTCAAGTCATCAGACTTGACTAATCTTCCTTCTACCGTCTCACCTAATCCCCCTTGCAGGGTGCAGGGGACCCAGAGGTAAACCAGAATGGGTCCCACCCCCAGAAGCTCATTGCTTGAGAGTAAGGGGAGCGGGGCCATAGAAACTGTGAGGGGTAGAGGCTGCTCGATGGGAAGAACTGTGGGGCATGGAGAAAGTGCCAACCCCAGCACAGAGCAGAGAAGACCTCCTATGGGAGGGGCGGCCTGAGCTGAATTTTGAAGGAAGTATTAGTTATGTGTTCCTGTGCTGCAAATTACCCTCAAACCTAGTGGCTTGAAACAACAAACATTTATTACCCACAGTGTCTATGGACCATCAGTTCAGGAACAGCTTAGTTGGGTAGTTGTGGGTAGTTGTGGCTTCTGGCTCAGTCTCTCATGAGACTGCAGTTAGGATGTCAGCCAAGACTGCAGTCATCTGAAAGTCTGCCAGTGACTTTGGGAGCCATTCCCAAGATGGTTCCTCCACACGTGGGTCTCTCCGTAGGACAGCTTGAGTTTCCCTCTGACATGGCTGCTGACTTCCCACAGAGGAAGTGATCCCAGAGACTCAGGAGGAAGCCACAATGCCTTATATGATCTAGTCTCAGAAGTCATACAATATTGCTTCCAGTGTATTTTATTCTCTTCATTAGAAGCAAAGTCACCAAGTCCAGCCCCCACTCAAGAGAGAATTAAACTCTATAAGCTCTACTTCTTGACAGGAGGAATATCAAAGAATTTGTGAGAATACTTAAAACTAGCACAGAAGACTATACAAATGATAAAATAATAATCCTGTTTGAACACTCGCTATATGCCAAGTACTCTACATTGCATTAATGTATTTAATCTTCACAACAACCCTCTAGGGTAGGTAATAAAAAATTATTAGCTCCATTTTACAGATGGGGAAACTGAGGAACAGAGGGGCTAAGTGGCTTCTCTAAGGTTGCACAGCCCATAAAGTGGTAAAGATAAGATTCGAACCCAAGCAATCTGACTGTAGTGCCGCGCCCTTAACCGATCCGGGCATACACACACATCCCTGATCCTCCCCAGCACACACTACCTGGGACTAGCCTAAAAGGGGCACAGCGAAGTATCTTTCCGCAATTGAGTTCCACACCTTGGCTGTCTGGAAGGGTTTCTGGGTAATTTGCTTCCAATGGAGGACTTCCCCTCAATAAGAACAGAGAATAGAGGCAGAGGTGTGTGGAGGGACCTGCAGCGTTCTGTAAAAGCTGTGGACCCCTAAGGATCTAGAAAATGGGGGCCCAAGCTCTCTGCCTCCTCAGTGGGGGCCACACTATAGCCTAGTCCCTGTGGCCCCACCCCTGCACAGCCCAGGGAGTCCACATCTACCCACAGAAGTGCCCCCCAGCCGTGATCCTGCACCAGTACCCCCCCGTATTTCCTCAGAGCGCCCCCTACTTCCACACGCTTACCCCCATGTCCGTTTACCCACCCAGAGCCCCCACATCTGCTCCGCCCCTCATGGCTGTGTCTTGCGTCCCCCACTTCTGTGCCCCTCACGTCCAGGCCCAGCCCAGCACCCCCTAACCCTTGGCACGCCCCCCCCCCCCCCCTCTCCCCCCCCCAGACCCCGGGGTGGCCCCGCAAGTGAAATTCCCGTCGGATCGATAAAGCCGAAGCGCTGGCGGCGACGGGTCGATGGTTTTATCTGTCTCGGCCCCGCCGCGCCCGGCGCGCTGACAGTCCGACCGGCCGGCAAAGGCGTTCAAGGGCAGCAGCGCCCGCCGCCCCCTCCCCTCCCATCCCCTCCTCCGCCCTCCTCTCCCTGCGGCCGCTGCGCCCACCGGACTGCGGGCTGGACCGGCCGCCGCTGCCCTCGTGATTTATCTGGATTTTTAATTGGAAAAAATTTGCGAATTAATTGATTTCAGGAACTTGCCAATTAACATTGTAATTGGGTGCGTGATAAATTCCCAAGGAGCGTGTCAGCTCCCGCTGGGCTGAGGGCGAGGGCGCCGCAGAGCCGGGGTAGTGCGCTGGGAGGGCCCAGCCTTGGCTGCCCTTGCCCCGCCCCCGCCCGCTGTCTGGGAGGCAGGAGGAGAGACGAGGAAGTGGGGGAGAAGATGTGGCACCTGGGCTCCTGAGACTCCTACCCAACCCCCACACCCACCCCCACCCCCCTCCCTGCCACCGGCTCCCTGAGCTGAATGGGACCTTTGCCCAGCCATTTCACAGTTGGGGAAACTGAGTCCTGCAGGAGGGCGGAGCTTGTGTGTGCCTGGGCACCGCTGGAACGGAGGGCATCCCCCATCCATGGCATGTGGCCAGAGCCTTCCTGCCCAGCTCTCCAGTCCTCTCCTTTCCCTTCCACTTCATGCTCCCTGCTCCCTGCTCCCCTCCCTTCTTCTCCTCTTCCCTCCAACTTTCCCCTTCCTGCTCTTACTCTGCCTTTGCCTCTGCTCTCCCACCCCTCCCACAGCTTAGCGGGCTCCGGAGCCTGTGGACGCTGCTGCAGGGTGCCTCTCCATCACCTGGGACGCCTCCCTCCGTCCCTGCCACATGGCTGCTCCCCGAGAAGTTCTTCAGGATGGGCCTGGTGTTGTGCCTTCTGCTTCCCTTTGCCCAACAGCACAGAGCAGCAACCTTCCTCCCACCCCCACCCCCAGCAGGCTGCTATTTGACACACCTGAGGATTCACACAGAGAAGCAGGGACCTCTTGGCTCCCAAACTAGGGCTGGCTGCTTTTTACGGACACAGGCAAACGCGTGTACATGACATACAGGCACCCGTCCACGCCCACATTCCAGCACACTAGATATGCTCACATACACACACACTCATTCCCACAGGTATGTGGGCACACAGACACCTACAGGAAGAAGAGTCAGAACTGTTGGCAAAGCACGTCTACTTTTCCAAGTACTTTTACATTTGAGATCAGAGGCTGTGCCCACACACCCTCCTTCAGCCCGCCCTCCCCTTTCTCAGTCCTGCACAGGAGTGCAAACAGACCCCAGGACTCAGCTAGTTAGAACAAGGAGGGCATAGTTAGATTAAGGACAGATTGAAGGGGGCTTTCAGGCCTGGAGGGTTGTCCTGGATGCAGAGGGGGAGTCAGAATATTGGTGAGCCGCAAGAACCTTGACCAGATTGCAGAAGTGTAGGAGAATCGCTCTGGAGGCCAGTGTGGAGCATGAATTGGGGGTCGAAGCAGAGAGACAAATGAGGATGTTGGGCAGGGTCCAAGGGACAGATGATGAGCTGACCCACTGGCCTGGGACAATGGCAGTGGCCTTGGGAATGGAGAAGAGGGAATGATGAGAGACTGGTGGAGGAAGAAGCAAGAGAACGTAGGTGATTACTCACAGGGTACTTGCTAGGAAGAGCTTTCTGACCTGGGTGACCAGAAGGGTGATGATGGCAGAGAAGGAAGTTTCTGGGGGAAGGAGGAGACAATGGACAGGGCTCTGGGCATGCCAAGCCTAAGATGTCTCTGGGATGGTGATGGGGTAGAGACTGGTTGTGTGCAGACAGGCAGCAACATACAGGGGGCTGAAGATTGGAGGGTTGTGGGGAGTGACCCCCAGACTTCTCTGTGGCCCTCGGGCAGGAGTTTCCACCCAGAGAAAGGAAAGAGCCCTAGGCATGGAGAGATGGCACAGAGGTGCAAGTGAGGCGTGGCTTGGTGAGGCCTGAGCCTGGGGACCTTTCCCGGGAGGCTTCCAAAGCCACTTTGAGACCTGGCCCCTAGGATGGGAAGCCAGCTCTCTGGTCAGTGCTTTCAAAGTGCTGAAAGGAGCCACAGGGAGGCTAGGGGACTCTAGAGAGGCAGGGTATGGAGATGGCAGTGCCCCCACCCCCACTTAAGCCTTATTTAAGGCCGGCCTCGGTGTTTGGTTGGGTAATGAACTAGATAAACAATTCCCCAAATAGATTAAAACGAAGTGTAACTTACAAAGGCGGCTGGTGATGATGGTTTATTCCTGGGCAGCACACCATTTCTTTATTTCCAAGGATAATTCAGTGTAAATCACCTTAATTAAAAGTGTCAGCCCAGCCCATGAATATTGTACTTAGGAACGCGTTTCCTGGGTCCCAGTTATAATTTAAAACCCATGGATCACTAGGCAGCGAGTGACTGAGAAGGGAGGAAATCGTTGGGGGCGGGCTGTGGAAACAGGGAGGGATGGAAGGCAGAGGAATCTGTGGGCTGGGCAGGAGCCAGTCGGCCTGTAGCTCTGGAGCTCGGACCTCCCCTTTCAGTGGCAGGCTTTTCACCAGACTCCTGTCCCTGGGGAACCAAGCACAGTCAGAGGTAATCAGGTTGTTGGAAGAAAGGGGAGGGGGGCACTTGCTCAGAGAGAGGGAAGGAGCCGGAGGCAGGCTCCTTGGATATAAACCAGTCCAACTTAAGGGGGAGGGAAGAGTATTGGCAAAGGGAGAGGTTGGACATTCTCACCGTAGAGGTCCTCATTTCTACTCACCAGCAGAGCAAACTAAAGCCCAGTGTCAGTGGGATGTTCCCAAAGTAGAGATAGAAAAAGAACTCCAAGCTCTGTCCTCCAGCCTACCCCCTGAGTATCTTTAGGGAAGCAGTGTGAGCAATGGAAAAGCAGCCCTTCAGACTCGGTCCAACAGGAACTCAAATCCCTAAACCCTACATGGACTGTGTGAACATAGAGGTGTCATTTAACCTCTGTTAGTGAACTTTGTAAAGTTTTTGTGAAGATTAAAGAGAGAACACATATAGAGTACCTGGCCCATACCTGCCAGACCTGTCCCATGTGGTTGGTGCACAATCATTGTTCACTCTGTCCTTTTCGGTCCCAACCTGATCCTGTTCAGACAAAGTGCAGACCTCAGGCCAGGGGTCCAGGGAGAATACTGGTACACAGAGATGCCTCATTTCTGTACCTGTCCAGACACAGGTGCAATGGGATGTCAGTCCTTGTTGACTGAGTGAAGGAAGGCTCAAAGTCATGAAGTCCCCAACTAGTTGCTCCTCAAGAGAAGCTCAGTTTCTTCTCTGTACCCATTGCCTAAATCAGGGACTGGCTGGGAGCAAGAATACAGGGACTGTTCAGGAACCAAATGGAACTGAGTGGAACCTGGTCTGGCTGTCCTTCCCAGTCTGTGATGCCCACACTGTGTGATCGCACAGGCAGGCAGCTCTGCGTTTACACTCAGACCTTAGGCTCATGCTGCTGCTGAGCCCGGTGGCCTCTGCACTGTGATGCGTGTGTCTGTGTGGGTGTGTGTCCACGTGTGTCTGCATGTGTGGGTGCGTGTCCGTGCATGTGGCTGTCTGCATCCATGCATGTATTTCTGTGGATGTTGGCGCCTGAGCAGCTCTTCACCCAGGTCTGGGGGACTGTTGTGAATGGGTCTTTATTTACAACATGTTTGAGCCTCTGGGTGTGACCACATGGGTCTGAGTGACTGTTGACAGAATCATGGACAGTAGATATGTGTGTATTTGCCTTTATGCCAGGGTTTCTCAACCTCAGCACTATTAACATTTGGGGCCAGATAATTCTTCGTTGGGAGGGGCTGTCCCATACATTATAGGATGGTTAATATCCTCTACCCACCAGATGCCAGTAGCAAACTCTGGGCCCCCAGTGGTGATGATCAGAAAGGTCTCCAGACATTGCCAAACATCCCCTGGGGGACAATGAGGACTTTATCTGAATCCACCTAAGCCTTTGCTCACATACTGGGTGTATCTACTACGTCTGACCGTGTGGGTGTTCCCTGGGTCCATGCCCTGTGAGTCCGTGCGTGCCCCACGCATTCTGCCTTGGGTGTGTGTCTGTGTGTCTTTTGTGCCTTACAGATAGCTCTGTGGGTGTGCTGTACCTGCATAGCTTGTACGTGTCCGTGCAGGGACCCTGTGTCAATGGGCTGTGTCTGCCTCCTGCATGTATCAGCCAGCGCCTCCGTGCGCATGTATTTGTATGTGTGTGTGAGTGCACGTGCATGAATGTGTGAGCACAGATGTGGTGAGCAAGTGGGGGCAGCAGGGAGGGAGGGACAGGAACAGGGATATTAATGTTTCTGAAGTGGATCTGATTTGATACGTCTTGTTCCATTGTCAGCATCTGTTTAGCAGGGATTTGTAATACTTTGTGGCTCTGGATCACTCATGCTTAGCGCGGGATGTGGCCTTGCATACCAATTTTGTTATTAAACACAGTCCTCGCCTCCCCCACAGCCCATCCATCACCTCCCGCCCCTGCCCCCACCTGCTCCAAGCCGCCCACCATATTTCAGGGCCCAGCTCCCGCCCGCCTGCCGCGCCCGATGCCGGAGGGCCTGGGGCTGACAAATTGAATCAGGGGGAGATCATTCCTGGCCTAACGCAGTTTGCAGCGTGTTGGAGGGAGAATTGACAAGAGCCATGTCAGCTCCATCACCCCAATCCCATAGGAGCTAAGAGCAGGCTGGGGACAGGAGGTGGAGGGAAGAGGGCATCCAGGATATGCAGAATCCTCAGGGCTGATAGCAGGAATCAGGTAAAGCCTCTTTCCTCAGATTCACGAGGGAGCCTACCAGGCCTAGTGTCTATGCCCCCTCCCAGCTCTTGCCACGGGTCCCTGATGGAGGCTGAGCTAGTCAGGGCCAGCTGGGGTTGAATGGCCTTGGTAGAGCTTGGCTGCACAGGGCTGGGCTAAGCTGGCTATGCCTTCTCTTTTTGGGGTCTTGCTATTCTTCTCTTGCATGCCCTGGGCAGCAAGTGGTATGGTCACCCTGTTCTCTTCTTTCTTGGCAGCAAGAATTCCCTTCTGAAGGATGCCATGGCTCCAGGCACCCCCAAGGTAGGTGGACAATTGTGTGTTTTCCTCCTACCCATCCTAACCTAGGCCTACCCATGACTGATTTCTCTCGAGGAAAAGGAGCTCTTACTGGATGCCCAACTGTCTCCAGGGTTTGATCATCAGTCTGAGGCGGAGGGCTAACCTGTGTGCTTGAGTGTGCATGTGCGTGTGTGTGTGGGGGGGGGTGTACTCTGAGCACGAGCCAGAGTATGTTCATCTGACTTCTTCCTCTTCCAGTCAGGACAGGGGTCAAAGCTAAGAATGACCTGGAGGCATGGGGGGCTCGGACATTAAGACTCAAAGGAGGAAGGTGAGCTGTAGCAGGTAAAGAAAAATACAGAAGTGCAGGCCAAGACAGAGAGTGCACTGGCCTTCAAAGCCAGGCCATGGTGTGTGTGTGTGTGTGTGTGTGTGTGCGTGCGTGTGTGTGTGTGTGTGTGTGTGTGTGTGTGTGTGTTTTGTCCTGAGGGCAGCAGGGAGCCAGGGAGGATGTTGGGCTCATCTGGGGAGACAATCTGCCCCCTCTAAACAGATACTATGGGAGAGAGGTTTGAAAGCATCAGACAGAGAAAGGAAAAATGAAGGGCAAGTGGCTGGCTCAAAGGAGGGGCCAGAGAGGCCTTAGCACAATGACATGATTTGTACCAAGAACTCCCATAGGTGGCCCCAGAGGCAGATGGTACTGCTTCCCCAAAGGTGATGATTTTGAGGGAGTGGGGACCTGAGGAGGAGAACTAGACCCTACTCACTGAGTGTCCCCTTCCTCACCCTCGGTAAGGCAACATCCTTTCTTAAGAGTTCTCAAAATGACTCGTAAAGGCAGGAAACCCTGGCCCTTTTTATAGGGAGTGAGGAGTGAGGGTTAAAGCTTCAGAAATGGATGAAATCAGTCAGGAGGCATGCACAGAGAAATTAGAGCGAAAGCCAAGAAGAGAATCTGGGGACCCCTGCATTGGGGGTTCAAGATAAGGTATAGGCACGAGGAAAGGGGCAAAGGAGGAGGGGTCGCAAGTTAGGAGGGGCCCAGGAGAGCCTGGTACCCCAGACTCTTCGGGGAGAAAAGTTCCAAACGTATGAGGTGGTCAGCAGTTGAAGAGAGAAAGTCCAGAGAAGGGAACCATTGCATTAAGAAGTCTTAAAGGCACTGGTGACATCTGAGAGGGCAGTTTGGAGAAAAGGAGCCAGAGCGATAATATTACCTCCCAGGTTGGCCCAACTCCCCCGGAGGCCTCAGAAAGGGTGGGAGTGGATTTTGCACCTTCATTCAGGAAATCACTCAACACAGAAAGTTGGACAGAATGAGGGGCAGAGACAGATGTAGGCCCTGCCCAAGGAAGCAAAGTCCTCTGGTCCTAAAGAGAAAAGGTGGGTGTTGCCACGGAGCTGTGGACCATGCAGGTGGGGAGCCACCCACCCGTGGATGCCTGTAGCATTCAGTGGTTGTGGTTAAGGAAGGTAGGCCAGCCGTTGCCACCTGACGCCTGACACCTGAGCATGGCTGTCAGGGCTAGGCATTGGACCCCAGTGAGGCCTGTGCTCGAAGGATAAACACAGATGCAATCCACGTCCATACCTGGCCCCACACATATGCAGATGCTCACACTACCGAGGTCAGAATACTCACACAGGAGGTCTTAAAACCTGTGTGGATCCTGCCACCACCGACACAGGCATGTTGATAATCAAACTCAGAGGCAAGGACCCCTGCTCGCCCACTTCCAGATTCATGCTCACGCCCCAAAGCTGACCATTTCAGGGTCTATCCCCTGCCTGTGGCTGAGGCTGTAGGGAAGTGGGCCATGGGTGGAAGAGGCATAAGGTAGAAGGTTCAAGCCAGAGACTGAGAAGACAGGGAGGCGGAAGGAGGGGGGAGGAGGAGAGGGCGAGGGGGCCTTAGACAAGATTGATGGCCTCATTGCCATTAAGAAAAAAATTAGCCGGTGGCGGCTATCATATTAAAGGGTGAAGAAGCCGTGAATTATTTTCTTAAAGATCTTATCGCTTACAATGATAATTTTACCTTCCAAAAGGCCACTTTTAATGAGGCGAAGAGCCAGGCAAAAAGTCATGATTTAATGCCGGGATTTTTTTTTCAAAACACATTTTACTGCTTTTTGGTCCATGTTTAAAAAGCGCCAGTGACCTTTTTTTATTCTGCTTGCCCCAGGTGTAATGCTGGGGCCTCTCAGGGCTTCTAACTTAGAGAGAATGAGAGAGAGAAAGCACACAAGAGGGAGCTTTCTCGTGGCGGGGGGCAGGGACCCCCACATTGTTTCCCCTCCTCAGCATCCTCCCTGGGACCAGAGAAGGAGAAGGACATTGCCTGAAAGCCCACCTTAATCTGCACTGGGCCTGCCTGGCTGGGTGAAGAAAGGGCTCCAAGTTGCAGGCCCTTCCCAGGCTCTTTCCTCTGCCAGCTCTTGGGGAGAGGCTGAGTCAGGGAGCCCTGCCAGGCCAGCAGCTGCCCCTCCCCAACCAGGGCCCTTGCCTGAGGATGTGCAGCTTAGCCACCGCATGCGGGTCACATCCTAAGGCTCGGTTGGAGATGAAGGATAAATGGCTGCTCCATCTTTCCCAAATTGCTTTCTTTGGGCTGTCACTGGCGATTTGGCATGGTTTCTAGGCTGGGGAGGCCTCCTAGGGAATTGTATGCTTCCGGCTCCGAGCCGTGCAGGCTGGAGAGGGTGGGGGAAGGAAGTAGGGATTGCTTTCAGGCCTCCAGCCCCCCCCCCCCTTTGCAGCTGAACAGGCCTTGGCAAGAGCCGGCAAGAGCCGGCTGAACGTGCCATGTGGTATTTAGAATTGTGGCGCTCGAACACAATGTAAAGCAGACAGTTTATTAATCTAAACTGCAGGCGCATGTAGGAGAGGCTGCACAGGATTGACGTGGGGGGGTTAGTTCTGCTGGGGTTCTTGCTGGGGTCACTGCCGCAGCGCAGGGATAAATGGACCCAGCGTACATCCCTAGCTGCATGCGGGAAACTCATATATACTATTTAATTTACTGTCTCCATAGCAGGGCTGCCGTCAGCCTGTATTAGGGGCAGGCAGGGCAGCAGGTATGTGGCTTTACCCCCAACCCTTCGGGGGGGGGGGTCCCAGAGTCTCTGCTTGCTAAGGGAGAACAAAGCATGTATCATCTCAGCCCACTGGGAGTGGGCAGGGAGTCCTGCCCCACTGGGGCAGAGATTACCTGAGGTCTGGGAGTTTTGGACCCTCTTGAAGGTCTCTACCCGTTCCCAGAATCAAGCCACCCTCTTCCACCACCATACCCCCGGGACCCCAACACCTGCCTGCCTTCTCAAGAGTGGTTGAGACTATCCCTCTGCCTTCCTCTCTGCCCCTCTCCCCAAAGCTCCGTTGGACTGGGAAGTCTAGGGGACTGACTGACTGCAGGTCTCATTTGGCCTGAGGCGACATGTCTCTTTTCTTCTTCCAGTCCCTCCTGTTGTCTGCTTCCATCAAGAGAGAAGGAGAGTCTCCAACAGCGTCACCACACTCCTCTGCCACTGACGACCTGCACCACTCAGACAGATACCAGGTGAGGAGGGGGTGGGTGAGCATCAGAAGGAAGCTCACGTAGATGAAAGCTTAGAGGCGCCTGCCCGGTGCTAACTCCTCCCCCTCCTTGGGAGGGGAGAAGAGAAACCTGAACTGTATTTGGTTCCCTCTGCGTCCACTGCCCCTAACTGAACCCAGAAGGCACAGGTGTCAGGGAATAGGCCTTCTACAGATGGGTTTTAAGGAGTGATGCCAAGGTCACCTGGGTTCTGGTGGGCTCTGAGCATTTCTGAAGCTTCTCATTCATCAAGAGGTATCCTATGTGGTTTCATTTCATGAGGGACCCAGAGACATAGCCCCAAATCCCCTGAAGACTTCAAAACCAGGATCCCTTGAGCAAATAACTATTCAGTGCTGCCAAACCTTGGTATCAGACCCAGAAAGAGACAGGCAGACATTACCTGTGAGTGCCTTGGGCAAAGAGGAAGGGAGTAATCACACAGTCCCAAAAGATCACAGCAAGAGGGGGCCTGAGGGTAACATCCTAGCTCTATATGGATATCCTTTGTGATAAGGAAAAAGAAAGAACTCCCCCAGAAGCTTCTGTCTGAGGAGAGACAGAGTCCTGCCCTTAGGAGCCCCAGTCAGATGGAAGAAAACAGGGCCTTGCTCCAAGAAACATTTGTTTCAATGGCAATAGGGCTTCTCAGGAAGCCCCAGCATAAAAGGAGAAAACAGCTCTGACTCAGCCCTGATTGGATGTGGAAAGACAAGGCAGCAGGGACCTATAATCCCAGATAGAGGACCTGGGTCACTGCTGGCACACAGGAAGCCTTTGTTGGAATTAAGAGATGTTCTCCTTGGGCCCCCTTTCCTCCCAATTGACACAGCCTGGCATCAGGGTGCAGAGCTTAGAGAAGCGAGCAGGGGCGTGGACACCAGCCTCCACTGGCACCTCCTGTGCTTCTATATGGGACTCAAACTGCATAGTCCAAAGTGCTAGCCCCCCAGAGGAATCCCCACTCTCATAAACCTTGGTTCAAGAGAGGCAGTCCAGTCCAGCCCCTGGGGAACATTGCTCTCACCCAGACAACCCCAGTGTAAGTGGAGAAAGGACCCAACCCCACAGAATTCTGGTCTGATAGGGAGACAAGGCTCTGTACCAGAGAGTTCCACTCCAAAGGGATGGACAGAGCCCTGGTTTTAGGGGGCATTCTGCCACCCTCTCTACTTCAGGCACAGCATTCAGCCTCAGTACCTGCCCAACTAGGAAAAGAACTACCATGAGGCATAGGCACGGCATGCTAAGGCATGGTACTGAGGTCTTCTCTGATTTAGGTTCAACCCATATTTCCAGCTGCCATTCCTAACACTGCCCTCCATGAACCCTATGGGCTATCCCCACGTAATTAATGCCAACCACTCCCTTTGGCTGTGCCATTCCTTTCTTGCCTGCACACTTTTACACATGCCGTTTCTTCTAATGGGACTATTTTACCCCACTCCATCACATTTCTATTTATCCTTCAATACCCTGCCCAAATACCATCTCCTCCAGGAAGCCTTTCTGGATTAGCTATCTCTTCTCATGACCCCTGTATGTCCCTATGATTGCCCTTATCATCCTATATTGCGATCACCTGTTTAGATATGTTTCCATTATTTACTGACATATAACAAGCCATCTCGAAACTTAGTGGCTTAACACGATGTATTATTTCTCATGGTTTTTTTTTCAGTTGACTGGGCCTTTCCTCTTATGCAGCTCATTCAGCTGGAGGATTGACTAGGCTGGAAAGCTTCACATTCTGGGAGATCGGGATGCCTTGGTTCTCTTCCATGTGGCCTCTAATCCTCCAGTAGGTTAGATCAGCTTCCTTACTTGGCAGCCTCAGGGCAGTGTCACACCAAGAGGGTGAAGGCCAAAACTGCAAAGCCTCTTGAAGCCTAGACTCTGGAACTCACATCAACTTGGCAAAACAAGTCGCAAAGCTAACCCATAATCAAGGGATGAGGAAATGCAGCTCTTGACAGAAGGAGCTGCAAAGAATTGTGGCCATATTTAACCTATCACAACGAGCATGACTGTTTTCACTAGACTGGGAGTTCCTCCAAGGCAATGACCTTGTCTCATCCTTCTTTACACCCTTCCTGTACTCAAACATGCTCAGCCCAGTGTCCTTGCCTTCAGGGGGTTAGATTTGCAAATAAATAATTATAGCCCAGTGTTTTAAGTGCTGTGACAGTTATAAATAAGTTTCTGGGACAGCACAGTGTAAAGAGGGGCAAATCAAAGCAAGCTTCACAGAGGAGGTAACAACTGAACAGGGTTTCAGAGGACAAGTAGGAGTTCACTTTGGTGGACAAAGAAGAAGGTCTGCCATTTCAAGACAACCCTGTGTGCAAAGAGCATAGAGGTGTATCACAGAATGATGTACTTGGGGGACCTGCTAGCAGTTCAGTTTTGTTAGCATGTAAAATACAAGGGGAATTGGTAGAAGGTGACACTGAAAGCTCCCCAGAGACTAGCTGGGTATCCCCTCCCCTGATCTTTACACAATGCCTGGCATGTACTAGTTGGTCAATTCTGTTGGATTTTTTTTTTTTTTTTTTAATCATCGAAAGCTGGGCAGTGGTGGTGGGGGGGTCTGGTTTCTGGTTTGGATTCCCATTTACTTAGCCCCTGCTGGGTTACCTAACTCCCTTAACCATGACCTCATTTTACCCTCATAGCAACTGTGCAGACTAGGATTCGTTGCCCCCAATTTATTGCTAAGGAAACAGGCCTAGAGAGGGGATGTGACTTTTTTTGGAACACATAAATTATGAGTAACAGAGTCAGAATTTGAACTGGAATTTGGCCCTGAATCCCTGATTGTTTTCCATCCCTGCACTGGGCTCAGAGGCTTCCCTCATAAATATCCTTCTCCCCTTCCCACTGATACCTCCTGCATGCTAGACCCTGTGCTGGGTGACTGGATAGAGATGACCCCACCCCCAGTAGAAGGAACACACATGTAAATAATCACAATATACAAGACCAGAGGGAAGCCAAGGGGTGGTGAAAACTCAGAGGAGGCAACTAACCCAACATTTGGGGAAAAGTGGAGCCTTCCCAGAGTCCTGAAGGGTGAACAACCATTAACCAAGCAGCAGATATGGAGGCATGAAGGATAATCTAGTCCAGAGTCCAGAGCATGGAGTGCTAAAGAACTACAGTTAGCCCTGCAAAGGTAGAGTGTCAAGATGGCAAAGGGAGAAAGCAAAAGTAGAAGAAAAATCTGAAGAAAAAAGCAGGTCACATAAGGCCTGTATGCCATGCTGCAGATCTTCTAGGTGGAGAACCACTGAAGGATTTAAAGATGTGGGGGAGGGGGAGACAGGGTCAATTTTATACAATACAAAAGATCACACTGTGTGTAGTCTGAAGGATGGGTCGCAGGGAGAGAAACTGAACACCAGAAGGCCAGATGAGAGACAAATTTTGAGAGGTCACAGATTATGAACTAGAGCAGTGACATCCAAGGCAGGTATAGCCATTCAAGAAATACGCTATGCCAAGCGCTGTGCAGGGCCCTGGGTTCACCCATATGACCCACACGTGGCCCCAACCCTGGAGTGGTCAGTCCACCATAAAAATTTGTATGAGCCACAATGGAGATCAAAGTACTCCAACGGGAGGAAAAGATATTTTTGCTTAGGCCTGGAAAGATGAGCAGGAGATACACAGAGGTGGAGATGAGAACATTTAAGAGACCTTTAAAGATAAGACTCTGGCATCTAAAGTTGGACTGAGTGTGAGGCATGAAGGAGGGTGGGGCCAATGACACCTCTCACGTTTCCGGTATGGGCACAACTGAGTGGATGGTGCTATCCGAACACCCAGGAGGAAAGCGGCTGTTTGGGGGATGTCGAGTTCCGCGTTGGCCGCGTTGACGTGCGGTGCCTGCGAAACCTCCAGGGGCTGTCCGAGAGACAGCTGAACTGGGAATCCTCTAGCAACGGGACTACAGAAAGGCCAGGGGCTGGGGGAGGGACAGTTTGGGACATTCGGTGGGATCGCCCGGAGGCGACCCGGAATCCAGACGCCTCCTCCCCAGCAAAGCGATAGCTCTGCGTGCGGCGGGGGTCGGGGCCGGACTGAGGATCTCGGGCGGAAGGAGCACCGCCCTGGCAGGGGGCGTGGAGCGGGGTGGGAGGACCTGGCGGCCGCTAAAACTCTGCCGGGTTGGCTTTGCGGACGGTGGGAGGGACCCCAGAGCGGCCCCAGCCGGTTACTACCGGAGTACGAGCAGCTGTTTCCTGGTCCTGGTCCGGCCGCCCCCCCATCGTGAACTTTCACCCCGGCGCGCGACGGCAGCGGGTCACGTGATCAGGGCCAACATGGCCGCCGCCGCCGGTGGGAGCTGAGGTGCCGCCGCCGCCGGGCAGCCGGGGGGAATCCGCCCGCATCGCCGCCCTCGTCGGCCGGGCGGCCGCAGGGCCCAGAGCACCGGAGACCGGGGTTGGGGCGGCACCGTGCGGCGGCCACGGGGTCCCGTTAGAGCATCCCCCGGCGGCTATGCCGAGGGCCCGGAGCGGCCGGCGGAGCAGGGGGGCCGGCGGGAGGGAGGAAGTAGGTTTGTTTACGGGCTGTTTGGGGCGGGGCAGGCCGGGACCGGGGTCCAGTGCTGGGGCGGGGGCCAGGGCTCCAGGCCGCGCCTGACGCCCTCTCTCACCCTCTCTCTCTTTTTTTTTTTTTTTTTTTTTTTTTGCTTCTGCCCGGGATCTTCTCCCAGACCTTCCTGCGAGTGCGAGCCAACCGGCAGACCCGACTGAATGGTGAGTCTTGCCCGGCCCCTCCCTCCGCCCCACCCCCGGCCTCCTCCCTCCCTCGCTGCCTGCAGCTCCAGGCTTGCCTGGGTCTCTTCGACATAGGGGCGGTTGGGCTTCGTCGCAGTCACAGCGCCTGAGAGAGTGCTAACCAGGGCGGCCGCCCTCAGTTTCCCCGTCTGTCTAATGGAGGTTATGGTTCCAGCTCTTGCCCACGCCTCTCTAAAGGCCTTCAAGAACCCTGGCGGGCAATAAGTACCAGAGAATGAGGAACAAGCTACACAATTCCACTCGGGAGCTCAGCTTTGAATTTGCAAACTGCTGGGACCTCACTGTACAAGCCGGCAGGGCGCTGAGAATGTTTTTCTTCCAGTTTTTAATCAGCGCCCAGTAGTGTGAATACAGCCTCTCTGCTGAGACTTGACAATGCAGTGAGATCTGGAGTTCCCACGGCAACAGGAACTAACTCATCCCAGGGCTCTTTGAGTTATCAGTCGGCCCACATTTCACAAAGGTGATCAGCGTGGGCTCGACAGCTCTTAGAGGCCTTCTCTGAAAGCACGTCGTGTATGCACTACCTGGTGCCCCCCCCCTTTTGGATTCAGACCTCTGGAGCATTACTATTTGCTGAACACAATTGGGTGAACCGAGCTTTTTGTGCTATCTAGGGTGTGGTATATCTGGGTATTGGCTGTAAGGGGCTTAGGGTCTCTGGGCCAGCTGGTAAGTCAGTGAGGCTATGTCGGACATTCAGGATCTCCACCTCTTGCCACTTGGTTTCTGCTGCCTGGCTGAGCCCTGATCCGGGAAAGGGAAAGCATTCGTTATGGCCTGACACCATGTTAATCATCATTATCATAGTACTTCTGAGAAGAAAGTGGTAACACATTTTGTAGATAAGGAAACTGAGGCTGGGAGAGGAGAAGGTGATTTGTTTAAAATTGCGCAAATGGGATGTAACTGAACCATGATTTAAACTGAAATTTACCTCCAAAATCTGTGCTTCTGTGACCATGTCGTTCTCCCTCCTTAAGCAAACTACCTACACTTTAGTAAGCTTAGTTCAGGACTTACAAGATGAATGGCAAGTTAAACCAAACCTGCCTTGGTTATTTGAGAATGTTCAGATGTTGTCCAACCCATCAGGGTGCTTTCCTGGGATTATAAGGGATCTTCTGTCCCGGGTGGCTTGGGCAAGAACAATGTACAGTATCATGCTCTCCTTCGCAGTTCTCTAAGATTAATTTCTTTATTCAGTCATCAGTGTTTGTCATAGGCCCTTTATATTGGCACACTGCTCCATATGGGCTTCAAGAACTGTCAGGGTCCCTCACCTTTCTGATGATTTCTCCATCCCAGCCCTGGCTGCAGCGTGCCAAGGTGGCTCAAGCCTGAAATTCCAAGTTTTAGGACAGTCAAGGTGAAGGGATCTAGATCTTTGTCTACAAAATCAAGGAGGGCACTCATAGTCCCCTCTCCTGTAGTGAGACCACAGGAAATTGAAGATTGGGGCCAGGCTACAGACCAAGATTTCTCAAACTCCATGCCATCTCTGGTGGGGTGATGGCTTTCCTATTGGTTTGGGTCTTCCTAGAGCTACTATTTTGGAGTTGGAGTAGCTCTCTGCCTCAGACTCTCAACAGGCAAGAGGTAGGTCCCCATGTACGTATTCTTAGTGCCCTAGCACACTCACAGATCAGTCTTTGTTGCTGTTGTCAGTCGGGGCAGGTGTGGTACTCTTAGGAGAGGAGAGCATTCTAACCTATGGAGTCAGGCCTGATTTCTCCTGTTTTTGCCACTTTTTAGCTACTTGAGCAAGTGCCTTGTTCTCTCTGAGCCTTAAGCGTCTTCTGTTAAAATGGGTAATGCAAACTTGATTCAGGTTGAATATAGAATTAAATGAGCTACCTTGTGTAAGGTATTTGATGCTGAGCCTAATACACAGCTGAAGCTCTAAATTGTAACGTCAGCTTTCACCTGTGTTCCCCTCCCTAAACTGTATTCATGAGCTTCCCACCAGGGTCAATATCCATGAGAAAGTTTTTCCTGGCCTTACAGTGGGGAACCATTTTCTCCCTGGCTGGCTCCCACACCCCTCAATCAGTCTGATCTCAGAGTGGCTAGCTCTACTCCTGCTATTGCACGGGGAGGGTGGCAGTCCCTTGTTTTGACCCCTTCCTGCTTCAGTGACAGGAGAGCTGCAGAGAGGGATTAGTGAGCTAATTAGAAATGATTGCATCTCTCAGCATTAATTAGCAGTGCTTTGGGCTTACAGTGTGCACTTTGGAATTGAGCCCCCTGCGGGACAGCATGGCAGGCAGCCGTCTGCCTCAGGGGCCTGCCAGCCCCCTGCACTGATTAGAAATGATGGAACAGGTTTGGGTAGGCGCAATGAAAGCTGTCCGCTCAAGGTACCATGGGCTCTCTGACTCAGATCCTCTATACCTTTATGACTGGGCCTCAGTCTCCTCTTCTGTAAAATGGGACCAGCGAAGTGCTTTCTTTGTCAGCACATACGCTAAAATTGTAACAACACAGAGATTAGCATGGCCCCAACACAAGGATGATATGCAAATTTATGAAGCATTCCGTTGTAAAAAATGGGACCAGTGGACATGAGAGAAAATCTTCCTGAGAGATTCTAGGTAGGACACTGAGGGCTGTGCCACAGGGCCCTTGGCCCAGGAACAGAAGGGGTTTTAGCTGATGAGTGACCAGCAAGACAAATTGGCCCCATGGAGGGACCTTGGGTTCTAGCCAAGAGATGTTCTCTAAGAAAGCCCATGGTCTTGGCTTTCTGCGCAGATACCTAGCAACTTGGAGAGATTTTGCTCATTGGACTTACTGAGCACTGCAGGTAGGACGGTATGGGTTGAACTTGAGCTATCTGTGACCAAAGAGTGGACACTTTGCTGGCCTAGCACCAGTCTCCTCCCCAGGTGCTCTTGGCAAGGCCCAGTCCCCAAAGGAGCAGAAGGTGCTGCATAATGGCGGCCAGATCAGGCACTGAACAAAAGGGCTAATGGCTGGCAAGAGGTCAGGATGTGTCAGCTCCACTGGGACCCTGGGAGCTACAGTGACCGTCTGCCTGTTCTGTGCTTTGTTTTCGGTTTCTCCATGCAGCTCGGATTGGGAAAATGAAACGGAGGAAGCAAGATGAAGGGCAGGTATGTCCCCTGTGCAACCGCCCCCTGGCAGGATCGGAGCAGGAGATGAGTAGGCATGTGGAGCATTGCCTTTCTAAGGTAGAGGGGCCATCACTACCTACCTCTTCTCCCCTCCCCCCTTGCTTCCCCTGACACTAGCTGCTGACTGCCCCCAGATGTAGGGGCTGTGTTGGGGTCTCCGTGTGGTCTCAGCAGCTTCTTCCTCTCTGTTCTTCACCCTCTTCCTTTCCTTTCACGCTTCCACTCCTCCCCTGGGGCTCCAGTGGAAAATTATTGGGAAGAGGCCCAGGTTCTTTGACTTTTGGATTGGTTTCCTTGAAAGGAGCGCTAGAGCTGGGGGCCAGGGCTGTGCCTTCCTTGTAGACCTAGGGGAGCAAGTAGTGGTGGCCCGGGACCCATGATCCTACTTTGCTCTTCACAGAGGGAAGGCTCCTGCGTGGCCGAGGATGATGCCGTGGACATCGAGCATGAAAACAGCAACCGCTTTGAGGAGTATGAGTGGTGCGGGCAGAAGCGGATACGGGCCACCACTCTCCTGGAAGGTGGTTTCCGAGGTACAAGCGGCTGACACGTAAAGCACTGGTGCTCTGGTGGCCGGGCCTCTGCTGGGTATTCATCTGTTGGGAGCCAAGAGGCCAGGGCTGGTGGCTGGTCACCCGTTCCACCACGTGGGAACTGCTGCCGGCGGGGCTCCTTTGTGACCGTGCTGCCTGCCTGTGATGTGCATATTAAAATGGATGTATTTGGGTGGGGAAATGGAATTGTGAGGCTGCAAGCTAGGAGTGACGGGGGGGGGGGCTCTCAGCCTCGGGTGATGCATTGAAGGTGACAGCCAGGCCGCGTTAGCACCTGCATAAAATATTAAAGGGACGGTTATGCATTTATCACTCCATCCCTCTTAAGGCTGATAAATGAGAATCCAGCAACCTGCTGTACACCTCCAGCACTGGGGGCCCTGAGGGCTTCCAGGCAAACACATTGGATTTTCCTCCTCCTCCTCAGCCCCATGTCGGGGAAATCAGTTACAGAGGAGAGAGTGAGTTATGGCAAAATTTGACCTCCCATGAGCTTCATTGGTGAATCTAATTTTAGCTCTGATCCCATCCCTTCTCCCTGGGCGCCCTCTGCCCTGAAGCAAGAGGGGCCTGGGCCCAGCTGCTCCCTGCTTCCTTTGGGCTCGCTCCAGTTGCTGCAGAGGGATCTGCAGGGCTTTGCACAGCTCCCTTGCCCTTCCAGCTCCTTGGAGGGATATGGCTTCGCCCAGTGGAAGTCTCCCACCCCCCCCACCCCAGGTCAAACAGTAGACTGGTTGGATGCCTAGGGTCATGTCCTCTTGTCAAACTCCCCTTCTCTGGGCAGGGGAAAAGGGAAAGAGTCTGCCTCCTGGCCTCCAGCTCTCCTCTGCCTGTGCACAAGCACAGCTGGCCCTGCGACTTGTAGTCATTAAGTGAACCAGTCTGCTTCCCATCTGCCTCCAGTTCTCTGGGCAACACCCCGGGGGAGTACTGGTGGGTCTGGTCCCTGGGGAATCTCACAGCAGCTGGGAAGAGGGTCTCTGCCTTGTCCAGGCCTTGCTGCATGGGTTGGTCCCGAGGAGCGGTCTCCACAGCGCCGTACAGTGCAGATTGGATATGTGAAGGGGCTCCAAGTCCAGGTGGGGCATTATGCCTCTGGGTTTCTCTCAGTCCCCAAGCATCTGGGGCAAGCCAGAGTGTCAGGACGGTAAATCAGCCCAAACCATTGCCGCAGCCTGAGCTGGAGAAAGTTCGTTTGCCACCTCACTCTGGTCCTGTTCTGTAGTTTTAGAGTGTCTGAGGCCCTGGGAGGAGGATGAGCAGCAAAAAGCCCAGGATCCTGGAAATGGGACACACAGGTGTCTGGTGGTGGCCCATCAGGGTCAGCTGCAGGATGCTGCTCTGGGTTCACAGTTGGCAGCTGCAGATACATCTTCCATTACTGTGGCAACTTCTTAGGTTTCTTGGCACCGAGCTGGACCTGATGCCTTCTGGGCACCAGACAAGGCTTACAGAGGATAAAGCTACATACATGGGGCCTGCTGATTTGACAGTGTTTCCCCTGTGCCCGGACGTACTTGCAGAGCGGGTGTGCAGTGCTCTTAGGCCCTGGGCGGGTGTCAGTTTTCCCTGAGTGTTTACACTGTGAGGTTGTTCCTTTCAAGAATTCCTGAGGGGAGTTCAAAGGGGGCTTTTCTTTGAGCGATTTGGAGAGCGAGAATGAGAGTGAGGCTTGAAGAGGGAGCAGGGCCGGAGGTGCCTTTATCTGCAGAGAATGGCTCCAGCTTGCCTGATAGAAGCTGCGGCCGCCTCTTAAACAGCTTAGTGCAGTCAAAAGACAAGCAGACTTGAAAGGCTGTTTTACAGCAAGATCAGCAGGGGCCACGAGGCAGAGAGCGGGGCGCAGTGGAGCAGAGGAGGCTGAGGCTCCTCGGTGGGGGGGAGGGAGGGCATCAAAGGAGGCCCTGGTTGATCCTTACTGCCTCTGCCCCTGAAACCCCATCTGCAGAAACCGGCCATCTGTCAGTCTACCCTCCCTGGCCAGGACTGGTAGGCCCCAACTCTTGGGGGGTTGGGTGTGGCCCCGCCAGGCGGGCTGGTGTCAGTGCAGCGCATTGATCGCCCGCCGGGCGGGCCGGGCCGCAAGCCGGGCAGCGCGTGCTTAATGTGATTGAAAGGCAGTTAAAATGGCGGTGACCTTTTCAGGAGGAATTAGATTGCCTGCCAAGACCGGTTAGAGGGAGTGATAACGCCGGCTGAAGAAGCTGCCCAGCCGACTTCAGAGAGAGGGAGCAGAGGCAGGATGAGCGGGCGAGTGGTGAGGCCCATTTAAGCTGCGCTGTACGTGCTGACAGAACAGAGATTGCTGTCCTTGTTAGATATGAAAGAATTGAAGAATTGCAGATAAGTTCCTGTATCCGATCATCCCCTATCCCTCCTCCCAGACCAGGGCTCCTTCATCATCCTCAGCAAAGCTTCCCACCAGGCCCACTGGGAACTGATCTGATGGAGCAGATCTGTTACCTTGAATGTAATCTGCTATGGAGCCAGGGAACAAGCAAGAGTTTTGGTGGAGATACTTGGCTGAGGGGAACAGGCCTTGAAGATAGGCCTGTGGCTATCGAGGGCAAAGCCCAGGTAGCTCAGGCCCGGAGTGCTTGGAATTGGGACTCTAGAACAAAATGAAGGACCAGACAGAACAGGTAAGTAAGCAGTACCAAGATAGGTACAGCTAGAAACAGATCTTTAAGAGGCTAAAGGAAATAAAGATTTCAAGACAGTAGGTCGGAAGATCTAAAACTTTCAGTGTCTAGGAAATACTGTGGACTTCCAGTTCTCAGAGAAATCCTGGGCTGTGTGCCTGAGCTGTTGATGTCCTCTCAGAACCTAGTCTGGTACTGCTGTTTCCCCCACCCAGCTTTAGAGTTGCATAAAGGGTGGCATGGGGCCTAGTGCTTCCCCAGCATTCCCCTGAGAGAGCTTAGCAGTTAGGAGAAAAAGATCCCTTCTGGGGCACCATGCCAGCCCTGGGCAGAGCAAAGGGCCTCTGGGCTAGAGCAGCAGGCCTCAGGGAAAAACTAATACAGCCCCTGGGGACAAACCTGCTCCTATCTGTAGTCAAAGGAGGTATGTGATGAACGAGCCACACCTTTCTCCTCATTTCCTGTCTCCAGCTCCTGGGTCCTAGAAAAGACTTATGGTGAGATTTGATCCTTCCCCTGTATTGGTTGCTAGTGAAAGTTCACCCAGCTGGATTTGGGGAGCCTGGAGCCCATCGTTCTGGAATGGACTGGCTAGAGAGAGAGGACACGGGAATGGTTGGTTTCAGATAAGGTAACAGTGATGGGGGCGGGAACAAGAGTGTGGCAAGATGGAAACCTTTCCCAGGAAACTGCACAAGAACTAGGAGGTGCCGCACCTTATCTGTGAGCCCTGACAGCAAACGAGTCACTAGAATCTAGCATTGAGCCCCTTTGACTCAAACAGGTGGAGGGGAGCGAGAATGATGGTACTTAGAGAACCGGCTGTGCCGACCTCTGCCCTACCCAAATCCTGGCCTAGCGACTACATCTTTCTCAAGTTCCTGTCTCGGATTTAGGCTGGTTCCAAGTAGCCCGGGATGAGCTCTCATGGAGAGGACAGGCAGGGCAGCTCTGGCACCGATCTTTTAATGGGCTATGACTTGCTAAAACATCACCAGCTTCTGGGTCAGGGGCCAACAGGTATTGTGAGTCCCAGGGCACAGAGAACTAGGCCTTCCCCTCGATGCTGCCCCCTCTGGCATGTTCATTCCCAAAAGATGGGAGCCCCCACAGCTACAAGTGTCCCCTGGTGCAGCCCCGCCGGCCGCGTGGTCAGGTCAGTGACAGGTGTCAGAGCAGCCGGCTGCAGGAGGCAGTCTTGGAACGGCGAGGGCTAGGGCTGCTGCCTTCCAGCTCCTGCTACCTTTAGTTCTACCTGTTGCCTGAGGAGAGGTGGCAGGGAGCAGGGCACCTTCTGTCCCCTGTGGCAACTGACGGGGATTTTAATGGCCTTTTGGAACGCAGTTGTTAAGCTGGGATGGAGGGAGCGCAGGCAGAAGGAACAAGTATCAATGGTTTCAAACGGTGTCCGTCTCTCTGCGTCTCTCCTGACGTGAGGCAGTGAAACGCGTTATTGAGGAGGCCCGGAAAGTGGCTAAGTGCGTTTGACACACGCCAACTCCCTGCCTCCACACTGGATAATTGCATTGTCAACTGTTCAGCGAGGTGGCAGGTGACACTGCAGGCCGATTGATTGTCCCGCATCGCAGCTCCCGAGACTGTCAGCTCCCCAATCGATGGCGTTTACACAAGACACCGTAACTGCATCTGTAACTAATTCCAGTGTAAAACTCTCCGGAAGCTGCTGCCCGTCTCCCCCCCCCCCAAGAGCATGGCCTCTGAAGGGCCCCAAGACTTTCCTTTCTCCCTGGGCTCAGGTTTTGTTCAGAGCAGCAGGTGAGGAAATTGATGGCTCCTTTTTTGTGGTTTCGGGTTCCAGGACGTTAGTGCCCCCAGTGAACGGGCATCTCCAGTTTCTCAATCGATCACCTAATCAATTGATTAAATTAACACTGATTTTTTTTTCCCCTTCTCGATGACCCAGGAAGAAATGAGTTTATGGGAGAGGGGTCATTTTTATAAAATTTAGACTTGCCTATCATTTCTGCACTTAATCCTCTTCTTCTCTGTTGCTAAGCATTCATTTGGAGGGAAGGGATTTTTCACACTGCCTACCCTTCCAGAACCCACTCTGCTGAGCATCATTGACCAGCAGGCTTAGTTTGCCTAGAGACAGCAGCCCAGCACATTGCACCACTCTCGGTGGGCTTGAGCCATAGCAAGGGGCCTCCCCTGGTGACTGAAGGGTCCCCCAGGTCAACTTGGAGGTCCTGGGAGCTGAATCCCTTCCCTGGATAGCAGCAGCAGGAGTGGCAGCTTGCTTGTTATCCCCAGCGCTACATGGAACAGGAGCCAGAGGCTTGGAAAGGAGCTCTGTGTGCCATCTTGCCTCTGAGCACTGGCTTGGGATGTTCCAGCAGCTGAGAACATAAAACGGCTATGGAGCCTTCCTCTCAAAGCAAGCTGGGGGGGAGGGGGGAGCCGCTGTCTGCATAAAATGGCTTTATGGCAGTTTCTTTTTATTATGATTCTGCCAGAAGTCAGCAAGTGACATTTCATTAAGAAAATAAAGTTTAATGTGCTGGGAAGGAGGCTGGAGCAGGCTGGGGCAGCATAAGAGGGAAATTGGCAGTAGCAGCCTGTTCTGAACACCTGTGGGGGTAGGGAGAGGTTCCCAACATCTGTCTCCACTGGGGGATGGGGTCAGGGTCATAGTAAACTGCTCAGACCAGAGACAGGCCTTTTCCTTGGCAGATAAGATGTGCCGTGCTCTCTGTCCTACCTGGCAGGTCGTCACTGCCCAGCTGGGGTTGGGGTCTGGCAGGGAAGGTTGAGGTGGTGTCCTGAGAGGCTTCGGGCCTCAGCCTCCTTTCGGACACAGGGCTCTCGGGACCTAACAGGACAGCACCGTCACCGTTTAGCCGTCATGGCTGTGGGCCTGGCCAGCTCTGCTGGATGATGCTGAGATCACACCAATGAGTCAGACCTGGGCTTGCAGTTTGATGAGAGACTGTGACAATACATGTAATAACTATGATTTTGGAGTTGCGCAGGAGTCTGGGTGGACACCAAGGAAGGGACACCTATGTAGAAATACCTGGGGAAGTCTCTGCACTCAGCACCTCAAGGGTAGAGATCAGATCTTGAAACTCTGTGTCTCCAGTGCCAAGCCAGGCCGAGGATGAGCTCAGTAAAGGTTGAAAGAATGTTGTTGGGGTGAGTTCATTCAGGAAGTATTTCTGGAGCAACTGTGCGCATCGGCACTGTGAGTTCATAGCAGGAGGCATGGCTGAGCTAGGTCAGACTTGCAAAACAAGCAGGTGTTTGTTTTGTAGACCAGGAGGGAGGAGAGGTGACAAGATGTACGAAGGCATTGGTGCGCAAACAGACATGGAGGGTCGAGGAAAGCACAGTAGCTATGTTCCGCTGGAGTAGGAGTCCTGGTCCAGGCCTGGCCGAGGAGAGGACTTCAGGCCACAGGGCTGCTTTCTGTGTTGAGAAACTGGGACTCTTCCTGGCAGCTCTGTGTTACCCTGTTTCCTCAGCTTTGCCCTGGGTCCTTTGCTTTCCTTTTTGTACACTCACCAGGCAGGGCTGGGCAGGGCACGGCTGAGGTGAGGATGTGAGGCTGGCTGCTGAGCTGTGTGTACTTGGGGGAGGGGGCCTTGGCAGGGTTCGGGGGCATAGGCTGTAAGTGAACCTGATAGCTACATCCTGATTGATGGCAGAGTTTGTCTCCCAGACTGTCAGAGGGTTTATAGAAGTGCCACTCACCCACGAGGAGGGAATTGCTTGTCAGGATACCTGGCTGTGAACAGGGGACAGAGCTGTAACTTGGTGTTTTCTCAGCTTAATGGCCCTGCTGTGACCTGCCTGCTGCCTCAAGTTTGTGGGTGCCTCGGTGCAGAGGGGAAATGAGGATTGTCGGGGAGGGGTGGCGCCTAGGCAGTGCCTAGCGGCTCTCTTTCCCTCATGCTCCTTGCCTTTGGGATGGGTGAAACCTTTGTGAGACTGGAGGCGTAGGTGGGAGAAGGAGGATCAGGAAGAAAATGGGCTTGAAAGATGGAGAACATTCTACATGGAGTGAATAGCATGAGCAAAAGTCTCAAGAGCAGGGCATACGGGGTCATGTGAGATGCAGTAAAGAGTCTATCTGTAGGCGTAGTGCTTATGGAGTAAAATGAAGAAAAGAGTAGAGGTGGCCAAGTAGGTACACCCACGTCTTGATGGGTCTGGCTGAGGAGGTTATGCACGCAGTGGGAAGCCACAGCTGGTCTGGGAGCCAGCAAAGGAAGGGTCAGAACTACCTGGTAAGCAGGATGAAGGCACGGACAAGAGGCTTGAGGACCCATCGTAAGACTGTTGTCCTGATGAGAGTGGAAAGAACGGACAAGAAGACGTTTCTGAGGTCATCAGGCAGAACCCCGAGCTGCTTCCTCGCCTCTTTGAGGATTTCCTTGCGGATTCTACTTGCCACAGATTCTACCTTTTTCATCTCTGTCCATCCTGGCAGGGCTGCTATGCTTTACCAGTGGGATGTGGTCTGAGACCACGGAGCGGAGGTAGGGGCAGGGAGGGAGAAGCAGCTCTGTGGCCCCTGACCGCTCCCATAAGGAAGGGTGAGTCTGGGTGTCAGAGCGACAGGGCAGGTAAGGGGCCCTGATGTGGCTTCAGCAGCTCACCCCTCCCCGTTGGCCAAGGGTTTGCCTGTGGCTGGGCCAAGTGCACCTTGGTGTAAGGTCAGCCACCTGCCTGGCCCGTGGCCCTGCCTCCACCCAGCCTGGTTGCCTTTGTGGATTGCTTTGAGAAGCAGGTGTGCGTGCCTATTCTCCCTCACCCATCCCTTCCTAATCCCTTTCTAACTGCACTTGTCCAGGAATCTGGGCTGAGTGAGGTGGAGATGAATAATTAATGTCAGGCGCTTCAGACACCAAATATTTGAACAGCTGCCTGGTGTTTTTGCTGGCAGGGACCTGGCGGCCAAAATCAGGACGTTGGCTGGGGGTCTTGCTGTGTGGCTCTGACTGGCCCTAGCCAGTTTGCTCTTCCCTCTGATGGACTGTCACAGTGGACCATGGGACACAGGGGATGCCCAGGTCTTGGGGGGGGTGGCTTTGTAGACCTTGAATTTCTGTGTCCTCTTCCTGCTCTTCCTAGACCTGGAAGACAGGTGGACAGCAGACTAGCTTGAGTGTCTCCTGAGGACCTGACAGTGTATATGAATGGGCTAGTTTATGAGCAGAGAGCACCAGGAGCAGCAGGAAGTGGCAGAGGAGAAGGATGAGGTATACAGCGTGAAAGGGACTGAAACATCAGAGCCAAGGGTACCTAAGTAATTGGCTGTTTATGTTTCAGGCCCAAATTTCTGCCTGGCCCTTACCTGGCCCCAAACCTGAGCCCCTACCTAGAGGCAACAGAAGGGGCACCTTTGGTGTAGTCTTGTTGGCCCCTGGCCCTGCTCACACCCTGCTTCCCACAGGCTCTGGCTTCGTCATGTGCAGTGGCAAAGAGAATCCGGACAGCGACGCTGACCTGGATGTGGATGGGGATGACACTCTGGAGTATGGGAAGCCGCAGTATCCTTGGGGCACTGAGGGGCATGGTGTGGGGCTGGTGGGATAAGCCAAAGGGAACTGAAAAAGTAGCCAGCACCTCTGGAACTTGCTCATTCCATCCACCCCCACCTTGGGGTCAGTGTCAAAGCTTTAAGCAGGATTCAACCTTCATGGCCTGCTGCAAACTAGGATCTGTTGTCCTTGACCACCATGCCAGATACACGGAGGCTGACGTTATCCCCTGCACAGGCGAGGAGCCTGGTGAAGCCAAGGAGAGAGAGGCACTACGGGGCGCAGTCCTAAAGCAAGTGTGGGCACAGGCTTGGGTGGGTGGGATAGAGAGATGGGAAGCCCTGAGGCAGGGGTCAACCCAGTACCCACCCTCAGGGCTCCCTTACCTGCCTTTAGGGCTCACTTTGTTCTTTTCCTTTCCCTAGTGGCGGCCCTCCCAGCACACGCATCACGCCTGAGTTTTCTAAATGGGCCAGTGACGGTAAGTCCTGACCCACCTTGGGAGTCAGGGAGAGGGGACGTTCTTTGGGTGGTGGTGACTGACTCAAGCCCAATCCCTCACCTGTGCTGCCCAGTCTGGCCAGAGTATGAGTTGCCCCTCTGTCCCAGCAGAGATGCCATCTACCAGCAACGGTGAGAGCAGCAAGCAGGAGGCCATGCAGAAGACCTGCAAGAATAGTGACATCGAGAAGTGAGTGTCTGACCAGGAGAGGGGCCCCTGGGACGACAGTTCAGTGGGAGGGGAGAGAGGGAGCTCTCTGCGAGCAGGAAGGCCTGCTGCCAGGACTCCTGGCCTTCCAGAGCAGTTTAGTCCTGCAGCCCTGGGCACACGACCGGCAGTGGGGCCCAGCTGGTGCTAAGCGTGACTCTGTGAATTGATCGCTGGGCCACTGCCCTGGGAGTCCTGGCGGCGGGAGGAGCACTCTGCCTGCCTCCCTGCCCGCTGTGGCAGCTCCACCCGGGAATGTGATATATGGCCGCCCAGCCCAGCCGGCGCACTTGATTCATCTCCAGTTTCTGTTTCTTAATCGGGAGCTAAATTGGTTTCATTTTTCTTGTCCCGGGTGGCGCTCGCGGTGGGTTTTAGGCAGGAGCATTGGGTCTCCTCACTTCTGGTAGGAATTTTTGGCCTAGGTTCTCTGGCAGCGGGGAAGGGGATCCATTAGCACTTCACATGGGGCTGGGCAGCCCCTGGCCTGGATCCCCAGGAGCCGCAAGGACTTGAAATCAGCTGGGCGTGTTACTGCCTTTCTGGAAGCCCAAGCAAGGCCAGTTCTGGCCCCCAGAGGTGGCACTGTCCAGCTCTAGCTGTCTGGAGTTGCTGCTGTTGGCCACTGCTTACCTCCCTGCACCCCACCCCCCCTCTGCTGGAGGCTAGGTTGCCTGGGGTTAAAAGGCAGCCACTTCATTCCAGGGCCAGTGTTCCATCTTGCCTCCCGCCAGGAGAGTGGATTGCAGGCCGGTGCAGGGCCGGGTCGGTGGCCCAGGGTCACCTCCCATTTGTTTCCCTCCATTTTGTGTTGTCATAAATTCATTCCAGCCCGTTGTGGTTGATCAGTTTATCTCGGCCGGGGCCGCGAGTGCTGCTGGCATGATGTATGGGCCGCGGCTCGGGGCCCGGCTGCCCATGAATCACCGCTGCTGCTCCGTGTCAGTGCTGGAGCGGGCCGCACGGGTTCGGCGCAACCGGCATGGGGGGGGGAGGAATGACGTATGGATGTTTATTTAATAATTCTCTCCTACTCCAGCTGAGCGGGGCGGGCGGGGCCGTAAGGGGCGCCCACCCTCGTCTGGAGGGGCTGCTCATAAATCAGAAAGACAAGATCATTAATCAGGGATGGCGCCCGAGGGGGAGGTGGGGGCCAGAGCCAGTGGCCATCCATGAAGGTACTACCCACCCAAGGCTGGGGGAGGTTGGGACTTCTGTCCCACCTGTATGAGCGCAGGCACCAGTAGGCAAGGTTCTCTGGGATGAGTCATAGATGGGCTCGGTCATCTGCAGAGATCTCCACTGGGTCTGGCTCTGCTAGGATCGGGACCCTTTAGTCCCCAAGACTTCTCTCTTCCTGGTATACACAACGTGGGTTCCTGCCCTAGCTCTTTTTCACAACCCAGGGCTTCTCCCAAGAAATCTCCACCCCATGCCCCGGATGGTCTCAGGAATAACTCATAAGCAGCCTGGGTCAGGAACTGGAGAATTGGGTATTGTACCAGAGCAGAGATGACAAGCCAGGCGTATGCTGAGCAGATCCATGAGAAGGTGGGCTCTGCAGTTGGTTGTGGCCTGTGGAGCCTTTGGAGATGAAGGGGGAGACGGCTTCATTCTCTCCTGGCCCCATCCTTTCTGCCTTTCTAGCTCTCCTGCTCTGATAGGGAGTTTGAGAGTGCTGTGCTCTGGAGTCGGCCTGTGCCCCCAGCTCCAAGCCTCAGGTTCCCAGTTTTTAAAATAACTACATAGGACCAGGCAAATGCCCAGCCTTTCCTTAGAGAGAAAGGGAGCACAGCTACCTTGTTCCCTTGTCAGGAATTTACCAACGGTCCAGATGAGGATGGCACACATGGCATTGGGCAGGACGCCAGGGGAAGGGTTGTGCTGGTGTTTGTAAGGCTCAAGGGGGTGGTGAAGGCTTCCAGATCTGGCAAGTTGAATGGACACTCCCAGAATCCGCCAGTGTCAGAGGGGCCAAAGTTGGACCCTTCGCAGCTTCCCTGGAGAGAGGCAGGGCAGAGTCACAGACCCAGGGAGTAATAGATCGAGGGCATCCCCGACACAGGGACGCGGCACCAAGAAGTCCTATTCTTTGTTGCCGCCGGTGCCCTAAGAGAACGGTCAGAGAGCAGTTTGTTGCTGCCCATGGAACGTCACCCACCATCCTCCCCAGGCTCCCCAGTACCACTTACCGCCAGTACCACCTGTGAGTACCATGGGCTTTCTGAGCCAGTTGTCTGCTCCAGGCCGGCAGAACAGGCCACCCTAGGAGAGCGTCTCTGCCCACATAGTGCCACACTTAGGATTCCCCTCAGTCTGCGTTCTCTCTCTCTCTCTCTCTCTCTCATTGACCACACCTTTTAACCTCCGCTCTTAACCTCTCAACCGCCCTCCTCCAGCGGCCTCAGCAGCTTCCCATAGCCTGTGAGATAAACTTCACTTTCTGATTGTGGCCTCCGAAGTCTTCCCTGACACGATCTCCTTTCCCACTTTAGCACTTACTCACGGGTGAGCCTTACAGCCACATGGGCCTCTTGGCCTTTGTTCCTCCCGGTCTCTGGGCCTGGGGACCCCGCTCCTCCTGGGTATTGTCAGTGTTGTAATATAGTCCCAGAGTTATCAGTGGATCCAGGCACCGGTTTGTGGGGTTTGTGCCACCTCCTCCACGCTGTGTGAACCGTAGGCATGCCACTTCATGTTCCTCTGCTGCTGTAGCTTTTTCATATATAAAATGGGAATATTACCGTTTCCTCGTGGGGTTTTTGTGAGGTGCAAATAAAATAATTTTCAATTCCTCAGTACAATCTCTGGCATTTAGTAAGTGCTTAATAAATTTTGGCTCTTTTGTAATTATCATCATCATTATTCTCTAAGGCCCATCTCTAGTAGCACCTTTTCTAGTCCTCTAGGCAGCATTCTTCCCCTTCTGTGAGCTCCTCTGGATTCTGTTAACTTGTTTTAGGAGGGATGGGAGGGGTCACCCCACTCTCTGAGATAGTCCTAGCTCTTCACTGTTCAGTACTGCAGCTCACAGAGCCTTCCAGAAGTTAGAGGGACCTCATGGGCAGGGCTTGACAGCAGGTGAGGACTCTCAGGGCATCTGATGTGCCCAGGAAGAAACAACAAGGAGCCCTTGAGGTAGGCCAGGCCTGTGGCCCAGGACCTGGATTCTGTGGGACTCGTGCAGTCCACATATCTCTTACTCTGGGGGCAAGACTGGTTTTTCGGTCAACAAACATTTATCATACTCACGTGCGCGCCGTGGGGCTAATGTCCGTAGTCAGATTTGGTGGCGTGAGCAGCTTGTCCTTGGGAAACTACGTCTTGCACAGGAGACAAAGGACGTTTGCAGTTGTCCTGCTGTGGCGGAGTCTGGTGCAGGTTGCTGGAGAGCACAGAAGAGCAGCCACCGGCGGTGGTGCTGGCAGGAGGGTTGGAAGAGCCTTCTGGTGAGTTAGGAGGTGGAGTGGTCCAGAGGAAGCAGAAAGTGCCACGAGAGGCCAAGGGAGTGAAAAATGGTGCTGTGTGTGGGAAGCCTCCTAGTTTGGTGTGGACGGAGCATGAAGTGTGGCGGGGTGCTGAGGGATGTGGGCTGGGGCTATAGACCAAGGAGTGCCTGGTCAGCGTCTGAGGAGTTTGGTAGAGCTTTAGTCTGAGGGAAACATTGAAATGTTGAAGTAGAAATGGTCAAATCTACAAAATTCTAGGTGCTGAGAGAATGGAAATGAAGGATCTGGAGGCAGAGGGGCCATTCAGGTCAGCAGAGGAATTGTAGGAGAAACCATGAGGGCCTGGACCAGTGGTAGCAGTGGAGAGACTACGGAGATACTAGGAACTAGATGACAGATTGTAGGTGTCAAGGGTGACTGGGAAGGAATGGTTTGAGAATGGTTCTGAGGTATCTGGTTTGGAAATTCACCAGGATGGAGGTGGAGGAACAAGGAGGGTGAGGAGTTCAATTCTAGAAGGAGGAGTTTACAGATACAGGATTTGGGCAGGTGGGGGCAGGGACATCTGGTAGACACACACCCACACACACACACACACACACACACACACACACACTCTTCTAGAATTAAAGGGAGGTGTGGGCTGGAGGTTCACATTAGACATGCTAGCCTGCTGCCTGCCCAACCATACTGTCCTCTTTCCAGAATCACCGAAGATTCAGCTGTGACCACGTTTGAGGCCCTGAAGGCTCGGGTCAGGGAACTTGAACGGCAGCTATCCCGTGGGGACCGTTACAAATGCCTCATCTGTATGGTAAGAGAAAGGGAACCTGGGATGCCTCTGGTCAGGCTTCAGTGCCCTCTGGGGGTTGGGAAGGGCCTCTGCACTGTGATTTGAGCTCTTTAGAGGGTGGGCCAGCCTCAGAGTGACCCCTTCTGTGCCCACCTCCTCCCTAGGACTCCTACTCGATGCCCCTAACGTCCATCCAGTGTTGGCATGTGCACTGCGAGGAGTGCTGGCTGCGGACCCTGGTGAGGGGGCATGGCGGTTGGGGAGTGGGTGGCGGTTTCTGGTGCTGCCCATATGTCCATGCTCACGTTTGAGCCTGCCGAGGGGAGGGAGGTGCAAGGGGCAGGGGAGAGGATGAGCATCGAACACGGGCCGCGGGAAGCCAGGATATTCACCCCCCCAGGTCCCCCAATTCTCTCCTCCCCCATGAGGTTTATTGAATCCTCTCCCTTCGTGGGTTCACTGCTTGCTCCCCTCCCCCCTGCCCACCCCCAAGGCCCACTCTGTCACACACATTGGTGAGATCCCGGGTCAGGAGGAGGCAGGGTGTGGGTAAGCAGGACTAGGGCCTCAGCCCCTCCCCCTGCCATTACTAAGCTCCTTCTGCTCCTGCCCCTGTTCTTCGCTCCGGAGCAGCCATTAAAATGTCGCCCGGAGACAGCAATAAAAGGCCCGGACGTGGGCTCTGTGTCCTGATCAAAGGCCGCATGTAATCTCGTTAGGGCCGCCGCAGCCACAGCTGGACCCAGCCTTGTTCTCATTACCGGGGCTCCCGCTGCGGGGCTGGCCGGGCGGTTTGATCCTGGCGTCCCCCCAGCACAGGAGCGGGCCTGCCTGCTTGCAGAGGCCCGCCCGTGCCTCCTCAGCCTGGGCTGACCGGACTGAGGTGCCAGCACACAATGGGTGCAGGGAGACACGGCTGCAGGCCCCCACGCTGTCCCGGGCAAACATGCGGTGTGGTGTGTATAGCCTGAGCCCTCCCTGTTCTCCCTGCAGGGTGCCAAGAAGCTCTGCCCTCAGTGCAACACCATCACCGCACCCGGGGACCTGCGGAGAATCTACTTGTGAGCTAGCCACCCCTGGCAGGCCGTGCCTCGAGCAGCCCCACCTGCCTGCCTCTGTGACGTGACCGTCCCCCTTGTACATACTTGCACACAGGTTCCCTATGTACATACATGCGTGCACACACACGCGTGCGCGCGCGCGCACACACACACACACACACACACGCGACTCTGGAGCCAGAGTGGAGGCTGAGGCCCAGGCCCTGCCTGCTGGCTGCCACCAAGACTGGGGACCATACCTGTTCCAGGTTCTGTCCCCAGGGTGGGCCAAGGAGGTGGAGGTGAGGGGGAGTAGTGGGGCAAGGCTCCTGAGATCCAGCCCCCAGACTGACAGACGGACAGACAGACATGCAAACACCAGACTGAAGCACATGTAATATAGACTGTGTATGTTTACAATGTTGTGTATAAATGGGACAATTCCTCACCCTCCACTCCATCCCCTCCCCTTTGGTTGTATGATTTTCTTCTTTTTTTTAAGAACACCTGGAAGCAGTGCCCCCTTCAGGGCTGGCTGGGGGCTCGGCCCATCCACCTCTCAGGGCGCCTGCCTCTCTCTCCCATGGTATCCCTTTTCCTCTCCCATGTGCTCGGTGTTCAGTGATGTATATTTCTTCCCCCAGACATGGGCCACGTGCCCCAAGGGACACGATCCTCTCCTTAGTCTTAGCTCCTGGGGCTCTTTATAAGGAGTTGGGGGAGGGGCGAGACACAGGAAATGGGAACCGAGCTAAAGCAAGGGCTGAGATTGGGGCTGGCTGAGTGTGCTCCTGGCTGTCCAGCCTTCTGCCAAGAACCATTCCTGGGATTAGAACTGCTGTTCCCAGGGAAAGTCGTCTCCCCCACCCCTCCCACATGGGCCCCACGGTGTGATGCTGTGTCTGTATATTCTATACAAAGGTACTTGTCCTTTCCCTTTGTAAACTACATTTGACTTGGATTAAACCAATATAAACAGCTGCTGCCTGTGTGTATGTGTGCAGGGAGGGCTAGGTGATGGGGTGGTGTGGACAAAGGCAGTTAAGGGGTTAATTCCTGACAGCAGTGTTGGGGAGAGGACTTGGATGTGGGTGTGCAAAGCAGTGCAGGGTTGGTCTGCTCAGGGGGCCCTGGAGCACTCCGTCAGGAGTGGGGGTGGGGCCAGGGACATGGACTCCTGACTATTGATGGGTAGGGGCTCCAGGTTAATTCCTTATCGATGCAGAATCGTCAGCTCATTAATCACAGAAGAGGTCAGAGCTTGGGGGTACATAGCTCTATCCCCCAATCTAGAGCAGGAGCAGCTATAAGCTTACGGAAAGACACAAACCCCAAGCCTCTGTCCCTTTCTAGTCTCCTGAAATGAGCCAGGGACCAAAACAATCATCTCAGCCCCCGTGGCGTTTTTTCTAGTGACCCAACACCCCAGTAATAGCTACTACCTAGATCCCCAGATGGCCTCAGTAGAAACCCCCAGTTGTCCAAGGTGGACTCTCACATAGGGGAACTGAAGCTGGGTAGCCAACACTGGAGATGGCAATTTTATCAAATCGACATCCCCAAGGCTGCCCACGGCCAGTGAGTAATCTGCATCCCAGGTGCTCAGGCAGATGCTCAAAGCTGCAGGTGAGTCCTTTCCTTTACACATTCTCACACACCAGGCCCCTCCTCCGTCTTCCCAAATCCCCCCACCATAGACGCACCAATACATGGGGTGCCCTCGGTGCATACTACAGAAGTTCCAGTCAGCAGCTCCTGCCTCCTGCACCCAGGTGACAAATCACCCTGGTTGGAGCCCAGTGAAGGCCCTGCACAGCCCCAGGCCCAGCTTGATGGCACCAAATATCCTGAATACAAGAATCCTGGGGCGCAAAAGTCTAGGGAACGTATGTGGCCTGCCAGAGCAGAGCGGCCCCAGCGACGGCTAAGGTTTCGGGAGAGAAGTGGGTAATGCCCAGTTCCCATCGGGCTGGCTTTCGGGTCTCAACTCTCCCTTCTCCTTGCCTTGGACTCAATAGGTCCCTGATGGCTGGTTACTCTCACCCTGGGGGCCGTAGGCTCTCTAATAGGCAACGTTATTAACCCTGAGTGAGGGCGTGAAGCCTACCCAGCTGTGGGATCCTTAAGCGTGGTCTCATGGCCCAGGCAGCACTGCCACCTGTTGGCCATGGCTAGGAATGCAACCGCACAGCATAGGGATCAGTCGCAATGGTCCCTGCGGTCCCAGAGGGCTAACAAGATGCAGGTCGAGCTCAGCTCTGGAGGCAGAGGGTCCATCAGTCCTGAAAATATCAAGGGTCAGCTCCCACCCAGAGCCTGGCTAGCCGTCTCCTTCACTGCCTGTCAAACTTTCAAAGCCCATCCCTGCCTCCCCCCACCCCAAGTCCCTTGAATATCACAGTAAGCTCATTCAATCAACATATTTATTGAGTACCTGCTATGCGCCAGCATTGTGCAGCAGTGACTGAGAGAATGAGAGATGATCGAGAACTCAGGCTGAAGTCACCTCTCCTGCCTGGACAGGATCCAAGGGGGTCTCAAGGAGATGAAGGAGTCCTCGCCCTGGCTCTGGTCTTCAGGGCTACTGACTTCGCTTGTCCCAGCTCCTGTGCGGCGCTGCTCCCTTCCTCCTCCCCACTCCATTTGCCTGTTAGACACCTGCAGCTTTCCTGGCAAAGTGTGGTGGACCCAGGCAGGCCCACCACCGCTGCACCCTCAGCTCCCCTCTCTCTGGCAGTGAGGTGAGAGCGGCCTCTCCAAGTGAGCTCCCGAGTGAGATCTAAGCAGATGGCGCTTCACACTGCGGGGGTGGGAGCAGAAGTCACAGCCCCCGCACCAGCCTGACCCTGTCCTCCGGCACTTCCGCACAAAGCTCACCTACCTTTCAAGAAGTTAAAGATCAACCCTGGGGCTCCTCATCAACCCCACCCTCCCCACTCTGTTAACCCTCCCAGCCTAAAAGCTATAGGAACCCATCCGCAGCCCGACTTGCACCTGTCCAAACACAGCCACAGCGAGACTTCTACGGCAACCTGTCCAGGCACCCCCACCGCCTAGGATCCTGGGAGAAACAGTTCCCGGGGCAGAGGCTGCTAAAATTCAATGGGAATTCTCTACTTGCGGGACCAGAGTCCCAAAGGGCTGTCAGGAGTTGAAGCAGAAGAGGGCCCTGCCACCCACAGACAGAGGATGTGGGGAGGTGTGGGGCATTTATTTCTGGAGCAGAGAGGAGTTGGGTGGGTGGGGCAAGGAGCTCAGCAGTGGACACAGCTGCGCATGAAGTTGACGCAGAGGCTCGTGTAGTAAGTAGGGTAGTCACGGAGGTGGCTGACGTGCGCAGATGACACGAAGTCCACAGAGCGCACCACAACCCGGTGTGCCAGGCGAGCCTCCACCATGCGTTCCACGTCCCTGGCCAGGACCACCTCGTCGGCCCTTGAGTAGAGGTAGAGCTCAGGCCAGCGAGAGGCTGCATCGAGTAGCCGGTCATAGAAGTGGGTGTGGAACAGGGCCGTGAGGGGAGCGAGCAGGACATGGAACAGGACCACCACCAGGGCGAAGGCCACCAGGAGCAGCAGGCGTAGCACCGCAGGCCGGTGCCCCAGGACGGCTGCCAGGGCCCGCAGAGCCCCCAGCAGGTTGCTATCCCCAGGGCCGCTGTCAAAGATGGTGCCCACCACACGCAGGCGGCAGAAGCGCCGATGGGTCTGCAGGAGCTCCAGCACGTATCGGTACAGCATGACACCGGCATTGCTGAAGACATGGAAGAGCAGGGGCTCCTTCTCAATCTCGTAATGAAAGAGTAGCTCAAGTAGCTTCTGGGCCAGAACACGAAGTGAAGGGATGCCCAGGGACTCGGAGAAGAAGACCATGTGCCATGGGGCTGTGTATCGGATCACGATGCAGCCCTGGGGAGAGGAGAGAGGCCGGGTCGGTCCTCAGGGATGGGGGGCGGCGGGCGGCAGCGGGGGGGCACTACAAACTAGCTTCAGAGATGTCCACCACTATAAGCCTAGCAGTGCTCCAGGCACCAGCTCACCACTCACAGACACGGGTGCCTTCCAGTGTGCAAGGTACTCGCAAGGCCCAGTTGTGGAATAACCACTTCATGCTGGCCACAGCCACCCGGCCTGGCCCAGTACGTGAGGCCTGGAGCTCGCTCTGGCTGACCAGAACAGTCTTACTCTGGCCCGTGCCCTCCCCCTTCCCCCTTGCGGCTCATCTGCTCAACTCTGGCATATTTAAGGGCTCGTGCTTGGCGACACCTTGCTGCAGTGACTGCTCTGCACCAGCCCCACCCTCCCAGGCACAAGGAGCTACCCCCATAAAACCCAACACGCAGACACAGCCTGCATGCCCCAGCCTTGGCCACCAGAGGCCACTCGTGAGCCGGACCGCATCAAGTCAGTCTCCAGCCACGGCCGCCTTCCGGCAGAACCCTGACAGCACAGGCCATGCTCTCTGGCATAGGGGCCTGGCACCCGATCTGTCTGGTTCCAAGGCCCGGGATCGCTCCTCCCACTCACCCTGAAGTTCCAAATATAGTAAACACTGTTGTTCCTCAAATTCTAAAACCTGAGTCAATCTCGTAGGCTCTGTACCCCTCAATGCCTGAGTCAAGTATGCCTCAAAACCTCCAGACAGATCCTCTTCTAGGTCAGGTAGAAAAGGCAGCCAAAGCCACGTGCCTCAGTGCTAATCCCCTCTCATTGTCCTATTCGAGAGACAAAGGGCCATTTGTCAGGGGAACTGAGTTAGGCGGGCTCTGGGGTCACACGGGTCTGGGTTCGATTCCTGACACCACTTATTAACAGTAGGGGTGAAGAGCAATTTGCTTCATCTTCCTGGGCCTGTGCTTCCATCTGTAAACTGGGTTAACGTCCATCTTGCGGGGTTATGGTGAAGACTGAACAAAAAAACATACCTCAAGTGCCCCAAACAGCACCTGGCACAAAGTCAACTAATAGTAGCAGTAATTAGTGGCGGCAGGACTGATAACACGGAGAACACCCTCTGACCACGGTACATGAATGACGCGGAGCTAAACACGATGGTCAGCTGAAAGAACCCTGCCATCAGCCCCCTAACTTCACCCCTCCCACTGACTCCAATCTGACATCTGTCCCCGACTCCCCCTGGCACTATTCTTACCAGGGCCCTGGCATGCCTAAGCCCCCCTCCCAGGACTCTGCAGAGGGGGCCACTGATGCCACCTGGCCCCTCAGGCTCTGGGAAATTTCATCAAGTGCTCTGTTCTAACTTCCCAATGGCATGTGAAATGTCTTCCCACACCCCCCCCAACCAACACACAGCATTTCCCACAAATGCAAACACACTCCCACATCACACCACCACACACATGCAACTCCTAGAACTAAACGAAGCCCACCCACACCATATCCCACAGATGCAGACACACGGGGCACCCACCACTCACTCATGTGCACCCACCACACCATCTGGGAGCACACTACAAAGCCACAGCTGGCAAGACACACCCACATGCACACATACTGCCGGCAGGTACCCAGTTACATGCTCTGCTCCCTTCGAGAGTACACACGCGCGCACACACACTCCTCCCCTGGAGCATTCACACGCAGAAATAAACAGCAATTCCTGCAAACACGCCACCTATGAGGACATACACGATTTGTGCCCTCCAACTCTGCATCACCTGTGAGTGCACACACGGAACTCCCCAAGGGCCCAGCACTCCCCAGGAAGGGCACATGCATGCCAAGCTTCCCTGTGCCCACCAGTCTGGGCCTCACTTTGAGGTTTCCCAGGTGCCTGCATCTCCGACGCCACCTCCCCAATCAGATGCTCCTAGAAGTCCCTGCAGGTCGGGTCCCAGTCTCCACCATCCCCCATCCCCCAGCCAAGCGATCCTCCATCTCTGGCCACACTCCGCCCCAAGGCCCTGCCATGGGTCCTTGCTTCCCTCTCCTGTATTCTCAGCCTCCTCCTTTCTCCAGAGT